CTCCATTTGCTGCCACTAGTGGCTTGGAAATCACACATTAACTAGATCATAGAAACAGCTATTACTGACCGGCTGGGTATGGTGTTGTCTCCATGGTATGGTTTTCTCTTTGAGGAGCGAGGTGCGGTGGGCGACGGGGCAGCTGGCCGCTCTGGCCCTCTAAGGCCTTGAAACACCGGGTGGTTCAGACACTGTTCTGTCAGAAAGCGTTCGGTGGGGTTCAGGCAAAGCAGGTTCTGATACAGTGAAAAGAGGAGAGTCATGCCACACTAGAACAATAAAACTCATTCTTAATAACACTTTGCACTTGGGGGTGATATGACATCTGCAGTTTATTTTAAAATAAATCAACAGCAAATATATCACAACTACGGGAATTCAAAAGGAAATACTGTTCTCTAAAGAATTTAGCAGACCGTTTTACCTTCATTAAATCCAACATGAGTCCATTGATGATGCCCAGGTACCGTCTATCAAGCGTTTGAGGATGACTTACAGAAGGAAACTGCAACAAAAACACACACATATATAAATTTAAAAAAGAGGGAGGACTAAAGAATAAAGCAGAACAATCGCATAATTCATAACAAATATGGAATACTTGTGATTGATTAATTGCATTAAGATGTGAAAGCATTACAATAGGCTAAAGCATTCGAATTACTAAATAGAAATATATAAAAACTGAAACTGAAACAAAAACTCAGTTAAACATAAAAAGTAATATTTGAAAAAACGACAAAAGCAATAAAAAAAAAATCATTGCTATGTGCATTGCTATGGGTTGCGTCTTGCTTTGGACTTGACTGATAAACTGGCATTCGCAAACTTCATGCTTTCTAACCTTATCTCAATTTTTCCCCCTTTATGTTGCAATTAATTTGCTTAACGTACATATAAAATACAAGAAGTTTATATCAGTAGTCCCATATTAATAATTATAAAAAATGTCTATCATTGTTACATGTTTACATCTACCAATGTCTTTATACAGTGTGTGCATATATAAAGAGATAGTGTGTATCTTATTATATAGTATACAGTATATAGTAATTGTAATATTAGATATTAATGATGATAGATGTCCCTTTTTTACATCTGTGCCCCTGCTCCTGAGAAAGTCTCTGCACATCCCCGTATACATTGGATTGATTTTAATAATGTCAACGTACTTGAAATGTGCACCAAGCACTAGGAAAATACAAGTATCGGATCAGAACTCAGTATCGGCAGATACTTAATATTCAACGACTATAATCGGGGGCACAAAAAACCTGATAGGGACATCCCTAAAAACAAAGTACCATTTAAAATGTGACTTGAGTGTCCAAAAGAGTCCAAATGTATGTGTCAGTGTATGCGTATGTG